GTTTGAGGGTGCTCGACCAAGGTGACCTTGTGTTGTATTCCTAAGCCTGCTAGGAACTCGTTGAGTTTTCGATCGGTGAACTGAAGACCGTTGTCGGTCAGCAGGGTTGATGGGACGCCGAATCAGGTGATGATGTTCTTCCAAAGGAATCTTTGTACTTGGTGAGCTGAGATGCTTGCTAGGGGCTCGGCTTCAATCCACTTGGTGAAAAGGTTCACGGTGACGATGAGGAACTTGCATTGCCCCTTCGCAACAGGGAAAGGTCCAAGTATGTCGGCCCTCCGTGTGGCAAACGGCCATGCTGGGGGGATGCAATGCAATTGCTCGGCATGGCCGTGTTTTTGACATGGTTGGAACTTCTTCACAAAGGTTGTGCAGTCAGTATTCATGGTCGGCCAATAGTACCCGGCTCGCAAGAACTTGGAAACGGTCATTCTCGCTCCGGAGTGCATTCCATAAATACCTTCGTGAACTTCTCACATTAGGTACTCGACCTCGGCAGGGTCTAGGCACTTGAGTAGTGGAGTAGAGAAGCCACGCCTGTATAACTGACCAGCGATGATAACATACCTACTGGCCTGCGTTCTCAGCCGTTTGGCTTCGGTCAGGTCGTCTGGCATGACCCCGTTGGTCATGAATGCTTTGATTTCGGCTCGCCAGTCTGGGTGGTCGTTGTGATCGGTGTTGTCGATGTCGATGCTTGCTACCATCTTCGCTTCGACGTTGGGGTGGTCGATTTCTTGCTGAATTATGGTTCTCAACTGGCCCTGTTTCTTCGTTGCGGCCAACCTGGCCAACTAGTCGGCTCGGGGTGTTATTCTCGCGTGGGATGTGCTCGACCAACACCTCTTGGAAGTTCGCCTTCAACTTTCGATAGGCATGGTAGTACTTCATCATGTTGTGGTCTTTTACTTGGAAATTACCGTCCACTTGCTCGGCCACGACCTTGGAGTCAGTTAGGCATTTGATACTCGACGCACCCATGTCTTCTGCTAGCCTTAATCCGGCCAACAGGGCTTCATATTCGGCTTGGTTGTTCGAAGCCTTGAATCGGAACCGCAATGATTGTTCTAAAGTTATCCCCTTGGGTCCCTCTAGGATCACTCCTGCCCCGCTCCCTTGGCCGTTTGAGGAGCCGTCCACATGGAGGATCCACCAATGTTCTTCAAAGTGGCCGTGTGGGTCAAGTTCGTTCACGAAGTCGGCCAGGCATTGGGCTTTGATCGGTCCCCTCAGCTTGAAGGTGATGTTGAATTGCGACAATTCAACTGACCAAGCCATCATCCTTCCGGCTAGCTCAGGTTTGCCTAGGACCTTAGAAATTGGGCAATCAGTAGGGATGGCAAAACGGGCCAGCCCGCCCCGTTTTGGCCCGTCCCGCCAAAAATGGGCCGGGCCGGGCCAACCCGCCAACGTAAAACGGGTTGGAGATGCTGGCCCGCCTTGCCTAAGGACAGGCTGGCGGGTTGGCGGGCCAGCCCGCATACAAAAATAAAAATAAAAATAAAATGAAAAAAAAAATATATTTTATGTTCAAATAAAAGAAATTTGCTACAAATAAATAAATATAACCATATGAAATTAAAAATGCATACATATTGTACATAATATATGTTCAATAAAAACAAATTACAAACTTAGAACAAAATCAAATAGAAATTAGTCTATTTACACCAAAATCAAAACCAAATTATAAACTTACACAAGTAAATTTTTTGATAGTTCACAAAAGAAGTTTAAATACAATTAATTAACTTATAAATTTTTATTTTAAGAATATTAGAAGCTCTCTTAGAAGAAGATGTCTCTACTTTTTTTCTTGATCATCTTCAACCACATCTTTTACATCAAAATAAAATAAACATAAAAATAATTATATTTAAAAAAATATATATGCGGGCCGGCGGGTTGTGGCGGGCCGGCCCGCTATTTGGCCCGGCGGGTTGGCGGGCTTGGCGGGTTGGCGGGTTGAAATGCTTGGCCCGGGCGGGTTGTGGCGGGCCGGCACGCTATTTGGCCCGGCGGGTTGGCAGGCTTGGTGGGGCAGGCTTGGCGGGTTGAAATGATGGGCCCGGCCTGTCAATTTTTGGCGGGCCAATGGGCCGGCCCGCGGGCCACAGCCCACTTTGCCATCCCTAGCAATCAGCGTGTACAATCACTTGGTGGCTCTGGAAGTAATGCCTTAGGCGTCAAGAAGTGTGTACCAAGCCTAGCGCCACCTTTTCTATCAGCTGATACCGGGTCTCGGGGTCCTGAAGTAGTCGGCTGACAAAGTATACAGGAACCTGACTACCTTCTTTCTCTTGTACCAAAACCGAGCTGATCGCCTCGTCGGATACGGCCAAGTACAACTGAAGAGGACTCGAAGGTTTGGGTCTCGTGAGGATCGGCGACGTCGCCAAGGTCATCTTCAACGATGCAAAAGCTTCTTCGCATGGCTCGTTCCACGAGAAGGCCGAATGATGGAAGTCACTTGGAGAAGATTGATGTTCTTCAAGCACTCCATGCAAGGACTTTGATTACTCTTGAGGTAAACCTTCAAATCAACACTTGAAGCTCCTTGAAGCAAACTCCAATGGAGGAGAAGCACTTAGGGAGGTTCGGCCTCCTCTTGAAGAAGTGAAGAAGCTTGAGAAACCAAGCTTCTAGGAGAAGGAACTTTGAGAAGGTTTCTCACGAATTTGACTCTTTAAAATGAGAGAGAAATCTGATTTCTAATTCTCATAAATGTCACATACTATTTGCTTGGCCTTCTTAGGTGATGATCGCTGATTTTGGTATTCTTGAAACTTTTAGGTCAGAGTATGCTGAGATTGAAAAAATTGTTCAAGAAATAAACAGTATATTGGGTCACGATTTTTCAAGTCTTCCAAATGATCTAGTTGGAATTCAATCTCCTGTTGAAGAATTAGAAAAGCCTTTGTTTGCAGACCCGATTGGTGATTAGTATCATCCTCGTACACAACGATTCAATTTAATCATTTTGTTCCTTTTTAGTTTTTGCAATATTTTCCACTTTTGGTTTGAGAAAAATAATAAATATGAAATTTTCTTTTTTATATAGGGTCTTTTAGACACATTTTAGGAATGTTTGTAGAATTTTCTTTTTAATAGTGCCTTCGGGGATAAATATGATTTTCACAAATCATATAATCAATACAAATATTTTATCAAATATATAGTGTGAAAGATGAATAACCAACCTTGAAATATGAATTTGATGAAAAATATGGTTTTCTTCAATGTGGTTGAGCCCTTTGGTTTTTGGAAGGTAATGAACAACTAAACCATGCAACTTTTTCTTATATCTTGCAACAACAATGGAAAAAAGACTATTATGATGATAATGTATTATGAAAAGAAAGACAATGACAAAGAGAACAAAAAAGACAATATGAGAAAGAGAATATGACAAATTATTATTTCTAAGAGAATGTTAGCTTATTTATAGGCATATATATGATAGTTGAATAACTACAAAAGATAAAAATAATAACGATGGAATAAAATGGTCATAATATATATTGAATATGGACATCCATTAATTAAATCACCAATTAGAGCATCTCTAAAAATGTTTCTTATAAGTAACTTATTAAAATTCTTATTTTATTTTAAATGAGATACATCATTCTTAAGCAACCTAAACACACTACTACATTTTTACAAATTTTGCTTCAATGGTGGGATCTTAAACAATCCACACTTTATAATTTTCTCATTTACACTTCACTTTTTGACAACTTAAGAAATTAATGTAATTATTATAATTAAATATTAGTTTAATTAAACATAATAAATAATATTTTAGTATATAAAAAACAATATTAAAATTTACACAATTAATTTATTGTGTATAAAAATATTTAATATTAAAAATAAAGAAATTACATTAGAATGAAAATATATAACAATGATTAGTGACTAATTTAATTTTTTACTCATAAATAATGAAAATTTGATGATGCATAACTATTTTGTTTTTTAATTTGTGAGAATAGTTTATGTTCTTTATTGTTCATTTAAATAATCAAAATTAAAAACATTTTTTTAATTCATAAATAACATATTTATTTTAAAAAAATTATTATTTATTTTTAAAACAACTTATTATATCATCTCATCACACTTAAATAAAAATTGTTAACAAAAGGACAATTACTTACACTCTCCATTAGTCGTTGTTTATAGGAAGTCTTCCATTAAGAAATTTCAAAGCAAATTCACAGGAAATTTCTGAGAATTTTCCTTCTCACAATTCATCTCCGGCATTATAATCAAAAGTGGTCAATAAGACTAGGAACATGATTGAAAGGTGAACTGTGGGCCATAAAATTACGACTTGACTGAAATGTCAAGAATAATATCAACTACATGTTCGTGTGAGGCAACAGTAAAAGCACTCCCAACTTATGTGTTGGGGCATCTTCGTGTGAGGTGCAACTGTAAAGCACTCCCAACAAATATGAGTTGGGAAAATAGACACTAAATTTTATTCTTTTAAACATCTTATCTATAACTTTTTATACTACCGGCCACTTGTTACGTTCATATTTTTTCTTTCTTTCTCATCAACTTTGGAATAGCATTTGACATGTGCAAAAACCAATTTTTATTTATATATTATTGAGTGAAAGCTAGGGTTTATATGTGTTGACGCGTATATTTTTTTATGCGTTGACGCGTGCTTGACCAAAGTCTTTATATATATATATATAAATTTTTCAAACCCTAAACACTAGAGTCTTTATATTCTAATTTTAATTTTTTTGAGAAATTATATTCTTATTAAAAACAAATATCTATTTGTAAGCTAATCTTTATAAGAGAACTGGTTAATCACCTTTAATAATTAAATTCTTTCTTTTCGATTTCTTTTATTTATATACAAAATTCGATCTCATACTTAGTTCACAACAATCAAGTCTAGTTGGTTGTGTCTTTATATGCTAGTAATCGGTTTTTGTCGCAAAGTTATTACTATATATATATGATTTAAAATTCCAAAATTAATTATGACATTCCAAACAACCCGTAAACTACAAGGTGAGTCAGCGCCAGTCAACCTTAAAAACACGCTCTCGAGAACTTTAAAAACGTATCACAACCCACACTTTCGATATTTCCAGAAACATTTGTCCCTGCATTGCATTCTCATAGTAATAATAGCAGTGTAGAACGTGCACAGTACCCGTTTTACATCAACGTAGTTAGGTTAAGCAGTTGCAATTGCTATGGCTTTCAATAGCAGCATCCAATGCAGCCCTTCTTCACATGAGATGATAAAGAAATATGACGTGTTTGTGAGCTTCAGAGGTAAGGACACACGCAACAATTTCACTGATCATTTTTTTGCTGCCCTCCATAGGAAAGGCATTCTTGCCTTTAGGGATGACACCAAGCTCAACAAAGGGCAACGTATATTGTCCAACCTCATGCAAGCCATTGAAGGGTCTCAGATTTTTGTTGTTGTCTTCTCAAAGAACTATGCTTCCTCAACATGGTGCTTGAGGGAACTTCAAAAGATCCTTGATTTCGTTAATGTCTCCAGAAAACATGTTCTGCCTGTTTTCTATGATGTTGATCCATCCGAGGTGCGGAAACAAACCGGAGACTATGAGAAAGCCATGTCCAAACATGAAGAGAAGTCCAGAGAAGATAAAGAGAAGATGGAGGAAGTGAAAAGATGGAGAGGAGCTCTCACACAAGTAGCCAATCTCGCTGGTTGGGATATGAGGAATAAGTAAGTAATCTTCGAACTCTTGTGCTACTTGTTCATGAAAAATCTTTAAGTAACTTTCACTTCTGAAACTAGAGATAAGTTGAGAGAAGTTATTTTATGATTCCTTCATGAGGTAACAATAAATTAGGTCCAAAATTATGTGCTCTAGGAAAGATTTTGTCGATCAACATGAAAAAATAATACTGTATTGCCTTGTTCTACACATACTATTTGCTTGGCCTTCTTAGGTGATGATCGCTGATTTTGGTATTCTTGAAACTTTTAGGTCAGAGTATGCTGAGATTGAAAAAATTGTTCAAGAAATAAACAGTATATTGGGTCACGATTTTTCAAGTCTTCCAAATGATCTAGTTGGATCACTAAAAATTAGTCTCTAAATTTTCACAATTTTTTTTTTCAAAAATCTTGCTCCTTCTTTCTCCAATTCAGCCACCAAGATTGTAGCCCTCACAACGTGTTTCACTCCTCTTTAGAAGCAACCTTGATGATGGTTACTCCTAGGTGTTTGAATTTCCAAGAATCCAATCCAATGAGAAACAAGCTCCTAGGTTACCACCAAAAATCCTTCAATATTGGCTATCCTTGAGCATGGCCTTCAACACCTTCCAAGAGGCACTCAACACACCTTAAGATGCTGGAATATTAATGCAAAAACTGAAAAGGAACAATTTATAATGGCTACACCAAATGATAGAGTAAAATGAGACAAACTAGAAAGAGTTCCACAAAAATGACAAGCAACAATTAAGGAAAATTTAGAAAGCTAGCACATAAAAGATATCCTATCAAAGGCACTAGAATGGATTACAAAATAAAAGCTAAGATTAGAAACAAAAACAAGACACAAAATATGTGGCTGGACAGAAAATTTTAGAGGTAAGAACACACCAAAATCGAGAGCTAAATATACTAATTTTTCACTCCTTTTTGGCTTTTTTCTTTTGCTATTTTCTTTTTTTTCTTTTTGAAAAATATTTTTCACTTATTTTTATTTGATTAATCAGGATTTTAAATGCCTTTTTGAACTCTTATAGGTCTCGCCCTTAGGCTAGAAAAACTGCAGCAAAAATTTTCACACAAAACAAGAGGTGTTCACATGCATTTTGTAACTAGTCCTTCACAATTTTGTAGTGTTTTTAGGTCAAATTTTTAAGCACTCATTATTTTGTTTTTCTCATGCATTTAGAACACATACACCTCTGTTTTGCCTCTGTTTCTAATGTATATGATTTTGTAAAAGTTTCAGCCACACAATAAGACTCAAGGAAACCTAATAGGAATTAGTGTTTAGTAATTTTTTTTGACAAAACTTTTAACAAGACATAATAGAAACCTAACTCTAGGAAATTTGCTAGAACTAATAGCAAATTATGAACACAAATATGTAAAACAAAAGCACATATAGGTAAGGTTCAGATTCAATAAGAAAATACACAAAAAATTTCGGACACAAACAACACACAAAAAAATTAGGTCAACAAGCTAGTCTAGGAATTTTCAACATGAAAAGGACTACACATGACTTCTATGACAAAACACTTGATTCAAAAATAAAACTAATGCAATGTGAATGAAGTTCAATCACGGACACATGTTAAGGAAATGGAGAAGACTCAAGCAAATACAAAACGCACAAGCAAAGAGAACCTAAAGCACAACACAATTGATTCACGGATTAGAAACAAGCAAGAACATGAATCAATTTACTTCTTATGTGACATATAGGATCTATCAAAAATTTTTTAGAAAATTTAGATCCATGCAGCAAATACATATTTAGACATAGGAGAAGGAAGATACAACACGGATTCACTTAGAAAAAGTTAGAACACAAAACCTCAAGAGCACTAGGCTCTGATACCAAAAATGATGGAAGTCACTTGAAGAACATCAATCTTCTCCAAGTGACTTCCATCATTATATGAAATCAGAATTTGACTCAAATTCTCTCCTCTTAAAGTCCTAAATTTCGTGGAGAAACTTTCTCTCTAAGTTTCTCACAAAGGTTTCCAACCTTTTAGCTTGTTCAACAAGCTTCATCACTCTTTCATGGAGTAACCGAACCTCCTTGGTGATTCTTCTCCATTGAAGCTTCTTCAAAGGAGTTCCTCATCCAAATTCGTGGTCAATCTCAAGAGTTTAAAGGTCTTGGAATGGAGCACTTGAAGATTCATCAATCTTCTCCAAGTAGTTCCATCACCGAAGCCTTCCATAAGAGCTTCGTCATCAGACTGATTTTGTCGGCCAAACGAGGGAGGAATCGGGATAAGGCGACCAATCTTCCTGACAGTCGTTGCAGTTCTTTGAGGTTGCTCGGACTTCGCATATCTAAGACGGCCTGGCATTTGTCTCGGTTTGCCTCTATCCCTCTAGCTGATAGTATAAACTCCAAAAATTTGCCTCCTTTAACCCTGAAAGTGCACTTCTCAGGGTTGAGCCTCATGTTGTGGTTGCGTAACTCACCGAAGATTTCAGCCAGGTCTGCTAGGTGGTCGGCCACCGAGTTGGACTTCACCACCATATCGTCTACATAGATTTCAATGTTACGCCCAATCTGCCCTTGAAACACCTTATCCATTAACCTTTGGTAGGTCGCTTTGGCATTTTTCAGTCCGAACGGCATGACTTTGTAACAAAAGTTGGCGTTCTCGGTGATGAACGCCGTCTTCTCCTCGTCGGCCGGGTGCATCTTTACCTGGTTGTAGCCGCAGTAGGCGTCGAGGAAGCTGAAGATGGAGTGCCAAGATGCATCGTCGACAAGTCGGTCAATGCAGGGGAGCGGATAGGCGTCTTTGGGGCAGACTTTGTTGAGGTCGGTGTAGTCGGGGGGCATTCTCCACTTTCCATTCGACTTTTTGACTAAAACCCCGTTGGCTAGCCAGGTTGTGTACGTGACCTCCCTTATGAATTTGGCTTGTAACAATTTTTTCACCTGGGCATTCGCAGCCTGCCTCTTCTAGTCCCCCATTTTTCTTTTCTTTTGGGTAACTGGCCGGGCGTCTCGGCATACAGCAAGCCGATGGCAAAGGAAATTTGGATCTATTCCTGGCATGTTTGATGTCGTCCATGCGAATAGGTCTTTGTTGTCTCGAACATCTCGTTTCACCTGGTTCGAATCGACTTCACTCAGTTGGGATCCATGTGCGTGACCTATTCGGGTGCTCAGCCAAGTTGAAAAGGAACGAGGTCCTCAGCCGGCTCGATTCGCTCTTCTTCCCCTAACCGAGGATCAAAGTCAATGCCCTCCGTCATCTCTTGCCTGACCACATTCACACCTTTCGTTGTCGTCGGGGGGTCGGCAATAGGTCGCACCTTCAAGCTAGAAAGGTAGCATTCTCTTGTTGTCTTCTGATCGGCGTGAACGGTTATTACCTGCCCATCTCTCGACGGAAACTTCATGCATAAGTGAGGGGTTGAGACAATAGCCCCCAGTGCATTGATAGAAGGTCGGCCTAGCAGGATGTTGTACGACGTACTCACATGCACCACAATGTAACGAATCTTGATCTCGCAGGAAGATTTTTGGTCGAAGCTGAAGCGAGTGTATAGATCAATGCATCCTCTCGTCATCACTCTTTCACCTGAGAAGCCTACCAGTGGTTCGTGGTATGGTTCTAGGCTTTTCTCCGGGATCCCAAGTTGCAAAAAAGTGTTCCAATACAAGATGTCGGCGGAGCTTCCCTGGTCGACCAAGGTTTTCTTCACAATGCAATTATGCATTTCAACCGAAATCACCATCGGGTCATCCTGAACGGGATCGACGCCTCGAAAATCTCGGTCATAAAAAGTAATTGGCAGCATCTTCGGGGTCTTCGGTTGATTTATGCTGTTTACCGTTCGAACAGCTCGGAGGTGTCTCTTTCATGCCGAAGAGATGGAACCTCCCCCGGCGAAGCCTCCGGCTATGGTGTTTATTATCTTCCTTGGTCGGTCAGTTTATCCCCGGGAATGCCGTGAGTGGTCCCTTCTCTCAGCTAATCGGGACCGGCGGCGTCGGTCTCTTGGAATTGGAGCTTCCCAAGGGTGATGGTCTCTCCCCCTTGACGGGTGGTCTTGGGGGGTGACGAAGCTCCTGAGGTGACCCTGCTTGATAAGGTCCTCGAGCTTGTCTTTTAGTGCCAAGCATTCTTCAATCGAGTGCCCCTTGTTTCAGTGGAATCGGCACGTCTTGGCCTTGTCGGCTCTAGGGGGTGTGTTCGCCCTTTTCGGCATCACAAGGATCTCTGATGCAAGGGCCTGCTCCATTACCTTGGCCCTACTCGCGTTGAGGGGAGTATACGCTGCGTAGCGTGGTCCTCTTGGGGGGCGAGTATTTGAGGGCTCGGCAATCGTCTTTCTCATTGGCTCTCGACCGGATTCTTTTCAGCTATAGCCCTCCTCGGCCCTAGCCTGGTTTCGGGTCTCCGCCAGCTCCTCCATTTGCATATACTTTTCGGCTCGGGGTCGGAGATCGTTCATATCACCGGGCGATTTCTTACACAAGTTGTTCACGAATGGCCCCGGCCTCAAGGCGGTGCTCAGCCGGTCCAACGCCACGGCGGGGTTAAGATCGCCGATCTCCATGGCAATCTTGTTGAATTAGTCCATGAAGCTTCTCAAGCTTTCTTTCTTCTCTTGGCGAACCCCCGCCAGCGCTAATGAGGTCGTCTTGTACGGTTTGCTCGTCGTGAACTACAACGTGAATTGGGATGACAACTCATTAAACGAGTCGATGTAAGAGCTCGGTAATCGGGTAAACCAACTCAGAGCCCTCCCTTTCAATGATGTGGGGAATATCCGGCTCAAGGCCGAGTCATCTTGAGTAGAGAGGGTTTCTTGTGTCAAGAAAACGTTCAAGTTCTCCTCGGGGTCGGTAGACCCATCGTACTTCTCGATTGAAAGGCTCTTCCAATGGTCCAACAGGGTCACTTCCATTATCCTTCGAGAGAACGGGTGCCTTAAGGAGTGATTGGTGGTTACGGCCTTGTTGCCTATCAAAGGGGTAATCGGTGTTCGGGTGACCTGGTCGGTTGGGGCATGATAGGCTGACTCCTCTAGGAGTGTGGGAGTGGACGAAACATAGGTTTTGTTCAGACTTTGGAGTTCGGCGTTCTACCGACGCAGTTCGGCCAACTCCCTAGAATCGGCTTCTCTTTGTTTCGGATGGCTGCCATTTCCTCGCACAATACGCGCAAGTCATCGTGGAGGTCAGGCTGGGCAGTGTGCGCTCGGCCAGACCTCTTGTATCACAGGTTCCGATTGTGTCTGAGGCATTCCGTACGGGTATCGTTCTTGGCCAGTCATGACGGGATTGTTCTCGGGGTTAGGGATCGGTTGAGTCGATGTTGATGGTCCTTTGCGCGTAACTACCATGTCTCGGTCTTAGTCGTAGAGTTCA